CTGGGTCTAAACTGAACAGAGAACCAACCACACTCCTAAGTGGTTGCCGGCCTGCATATCGACACACATTTCGGCTGCTAGATACATTCTGTAAAATCCCAAGAATCATAAAATACAGAGCGAAAAGCCCTGCTGCCTCACTATTACACATCTTCCAGAATGACACGCACCAGGGCCTCTTAAAGCTTCTATTTAGTGGTGGTATATGGGGTCCATGGTGCGCAGTTGCTGTAACCAGTGCAAAAACGTCTTCCGAAGACGGCTCCCACCCCCTGTAACTGCGAGAGAGAATTATCAGTGAACGCACTGGAAACGAGCTCTAAAGATAGCTACCCTACAACTTCAGTACTGGGGCTACCCCGAAGATGTCATTAAAGCCTTCCGCGTAATCTGCAGCTACTTCCCCCGCTCCGGCAGAGCCAGTTAAGGAAAGACGGATGGCTGCTGATCCACATCTCTCCAGTCAGGATGCCAGCCACGCACTCTGCGTGCCCATTTCCCAGAAGCACCTCGCCCGCGTGGGCACGCTCGGGCTCCTTGCTCTGTGTTTGGACAAGCACCCAGATGGCCAGCCCGCCACTCTGGCCTCCACAGCACCTCCTCAGGCCCGTGTCCGTCTCTGCGCATGGGCGCCAGCCCCTGCCCTCTGCCCAATGCCAACTAACACGCTCTCTGAAGGCCACTCAGGGAGTTCTTTCCATCTACACTCTCCGCTCTATTCTCTCTTGGCACTATTTTCCTTCGTATCAATTTATAATGGCACATTTTTCAAGGTTATTTAACATCTGTCTCCCCCCTAGAGTTTAAGAACCACCAGGACCAAAACTATCTGTCACTGCTGTAAATCCAAGCCCAGCACAGTTCTTGGCACACAATAGGTGGTCAGTCATTATTTGGTGAAAAAAATTAATGTTTTTTGGTACATTTTCAACTGGGTGGGCTGCTCAAAGTCAGAAATCAGATTGGATTTGCTGGGATGATGAATCTAAACCAGGGGTGGGCAAACTTTTTGACTCGAGGGCCACAATGGGTTCTTAAACTGGACCGGAAGGCCGGAACAAAAGCATGGATGGAGTGTTTGTGTGAACTAATATAAATTCAAAGTAAACATCATTACAAAAAAGGGTACGGTCTTTTTTTTTTTAGTTTTATTCATTTCAAAAGGGCCGGATCCTTGCCCACGGCTGCTCTAGAGTGATGCTTTCTTAATGCAAATAACTCACCTGCATTGGCTTTAAGGTCTTCAGGTAAAGCCTAAGCCACTGTTCGACTGGTAGCTATGATGCACACTGACCACCAGGGGGCAGATGCTCAATGCACAGGCATGGAAACATGGAATAGACTGATGAATCTCAGAGGAGGGGAGGGGTGGGAAGGGTGGGAAGAGATTAACCAAAGATCTTATATGCATACTGGAGGCCTGGTGCACAGATTTGTACACCGGTGGGGTCCCTCGGCCTGGCCTGCAGGAATCAGGCCAAAATTGGCTCTCCGACATCCCCCGAGGGGTCCCGGATTGCAGAGGGCACAGGCCAGGCTGAGGGACCCCACCGGTGCATGAATCCGTGCACACCAGGGCCTGTTGTCACAAAACCATTTCCTTCTCACAGAACTCTGCTTGCCCACCGCTTCCTACTCGTCTGCCTCGGTGGCTGCCTCGGGGAAGCAGCGCCCAGTGCAGCACGGCAGGCGGACTGGGGACCCTCGTGGGCGCGGACCACATCTCTGACCGTGTGCAGGGTTTGAACTGTTAGCCTAACTCGCAGACATGAGCTGCCTCCAGAGCTGCCTCATCTAATCGATCATCATTTTTTTTCATGGCAGCTGCGTTTCCATGTCATCACTGCTTTCTGCATTGAGAAATTAACACTGGGTATGTGTCCCTGCCCCGGAGATGGATGGGCGTTCATCAATATCCTTTGCAGGTGTCTTCTGCTTGACAAGCTGGGTTTCACGGAAGTCAACTGCAAACCACTTAGCGACCTCACCCTCCACACTCTACAAATGTCCCCGATCGTAAAAGCAGAACACGGGTGGTGTGGCCATTTTAAAAGCATCACAAACGCTTGTGTGCCTACCGAACGGGAGCTGCACTGCCAGAGCTTCCCACAGTCCGCGTGGGGCCCCTCCGCGCTCGGGGCTGCGCTGCACTGGGTTTAATACAGTGGGTCTGCGACACCATTAATTTCGCGTGTCCCTCTCCCCTCCCCCATCCCGTGCTCCCTTTCATTTCCTCCTCATAAATATGAAGAACGTATTCCCAATCCTTGTTGAGCAAATGATTCATGCCAAAGGCCCAATATGCACTGACTCAGGGTATTTATATTGCCTCTGGTAGCCAGTGTTGCTAGTATACTGTAATTATTTTTGACAACCTTGCATTTAAGGTAGCCACAGATAACCAACTTAATATTCAAATGTTCATAAATCCTTCTGTTTAATATCCTCCCTACCTAATCTATGTACATTATTATTACAGGTAATGCAGAAAGTACAGGGCATGAAAAGTGCAATTAATCTCGATCCTTCCCCAGGAAGCAATGTCACTCCAAAGCCAGGTTTCTGTATTAATGGCATTACTGGGGGAAGGAAATTTAAGTTCCAAAGGAGTCTCCCCAAACTCCTACATTGGGAGTCTCAAGTCACCTAATTAAGAATCTGTCCAGCCTTGAGATCCCCGTCCCTCCTTCACGGCCGTACAAATTATGCCACGCCGAGTCCTCCCTGACAGCAGGGCCGGCCCGACGGCTGCGGCAGATTAAACTATGCCTCATTCCTGTCCACTCCTGGCCAGCCGGGGGCCCCTTTGGATGTCACCACAGGACCCATTCATTCTTTTTCTGAAACCAGAACACACCTATTTCCTATGCTGCTTCAAAGGAGCGGCAGAGCTCCCCCCACGGCCTGGTCCTCATCCCACATCCCTACCTACCTCCTGGGCCTCCTGGAGGAAGACACACAAAGGAAGCCCCCAACGAGCACCTCTTCAGTGTTCAACGAAGGGTGACTAACTCATGCATTCTCTGCAGAAGGTCTACCCGTGATACCTAAGTTAGCACGCGCAGGCCACTCATCTGCCATCTTCAGACTTGTCGCTGTCTCCACACGAAGGGTTGGGGACTCCTCTGGCCTAGAGTACCAAGAACCCACAGCCTTCGGGGGAAACGCAACAAAGACAGAAATCAAGAAAACACACACACACACACACACACACACACACAACAAACAAACAATAAAAAGTGGTATACGAGATCATGGCTGTCCTGGGAGGTGACCGTTTTGAGCCGAAGCCTCCTCAGGCCAGATGGGGGAAGACTGAGCAGAGATCAGAAATGACACCGTGAAGCCACTGAGCAGAGCGAGGGCGTCCCCGGAGTCCGTCCTCAGCCCCGAGCGGCAGTGAGCACGCTGACCTCTGCACAAAGGAGAGGCCAGCGGACAGAAGAGGGCTGACACAAGTTAAACACATGAATAGTTTCAGAAAAGGGTTTAGGTAACTCCCGGCACAAAGGGGCGGGGAGTGCCCTGGGCGAATGCGATGCCAGAGGGGAGGTGGGGCAGGGGGGACGTTAACCCGGGGGGACGTTAACCCGGCCTGCAGACCTGCCCCTCCGTGTCCTCGGGCAGCACAGTGAGCCCCGGGGACCTGCTCAGACTCATTACGGCGCAGCTGCCGCCTGCCAGCCTGTCTGGTGAAAAGGATGTCGGAGTTTAGCACCAGGACTGTCCCCCCTCCATTAGAAGCTGCACTTCACAACAAGCAGACGTTACCCTCGTAATTAGGGGGGGCATTAAAGCAATGGCTTCTCCCCAGGCCTGCATATGTTATGAATAATCTTCCTTCCAAAGACTTCTCAATAAGCACAGGAATGTTAGGTGGAAGAGTGGCAGCCAGAGAACCGCGTGACTGTCTCCACCCAGAAAACACGGAAGGGACAGGCCGGGACCCCAGGCCCGGACCGTGGGCTGTGGGGCTATGTGACGGGAGAAAGACCGTTTCTCTTCCCGTTCATGCTTCTGAATGAAGATGTTTAAAGTTGTTTTTCTTTTCTTTTTTAAAAAACATATTTTTATTGATTTCAGAGAAGAAGGGAGAGGGAGAGAGAGAGAGAAACATCAGTGATGAGAGAGACTCATTGATCGGCTGCCTCCTGCACACCTCCTTCTGGGGATTGAGCCAGCAACCCAGGCATGTGCCCTGGACCGGAATCGAACCCGAGACCCTTCAGTCCGCAG